CAGGCCCCAATTGGCAACTTAATTGGCAAGATTCCTACACAAAAAACAACTACATAGGACACCTAGGAATTTAAGATTTAACCTATGAATATCTCTTTTTTAACATATTTCCCTGCAAATATACTGAAAAAAGAGTCCAATATTATCAAATATTTATGCAGTACTTTTAAAGATAAGGTATGCTTACCTGGTGTACATCCTTTTTATAAGTTATTCTACTAAGAGATACACCTTAAGCTGAAAATCAAGACTTTAACAAGAAACAGTGTAAGTGTAATAGTTACAATATCCATATTTTTGTGTCCACTGTAAAATTATGTTTACAACAATGGTATTCCTAGAAAACAGAACTATGTTCCATAGCATTTAGAGTAGGTTCTATTAGGTTATTTAGTAGACACTATAATTTGTCATTTTCAAACTTAAAGGGGATATCAAAAAACAGAAGAAATAGTCTTTTTTCCTAGTGCATTTTCTATTATGCTCTGATTGTAATTATAATTCTAAAGATAAATTATTTTAGCCTATTATTATGAATGTAAAAACTGAAGGTGAACATTAAGAAACTTCTAATAAACTTCTTCTGAGATGATATAAACTTTAAAATGACATAAAAAGTTTCATGCACTTAGTCAAATCCTTTATAAGTAATTCAGCAATCTCTAAGATCCAATTATCCAGTTTCTGACCTTTTGACCACCTAATCACACATAGCCTATTAAGATTTATTAAAAGAACAGAAATGAAATTTAATCTGGGAATGCAGGGCCTCAATTCCCCATAGTTTTGAACATTATGAATAACTGCTTATTCCTGTTTTGTTTTTTTCTTAGATACAGTCTTGCTTTGTAGCCCAATCCATAATCTTCCTGTTTCAACCTCTCAAGTGCTGCTGGGATTACAGATGTAAGCTACAACACTCCGCTGCTTAGTTTTTTAATAGAAATAAAATTTCAAGTGTATGGTAAGACATATATATTATATGTAATACATATAACAACACCTTAAAGTTACAGATTAAAATGTAAAACATATTGCATGCAAATAATCTAACAAATCATATTAAATACATAAAAGTCATGCACCAGGAGGTATTTATAAAGCTACACAAATACCTAAGGCCAAATAATATACTTGCAAAAACTGACATTGAGAATTTTTTTAAATGAACCTTTTAGAAGCAGCAATGAACTTGATTTAGATTTTAATTGACATAGGCTTTTTATAAATAATGAAAACATTTGTAAAAGGTCTTTTAAAATTATTTTTAAAACATGTTCCTTAGATTAAACCCATAAAAGCACTTGTGATCTTGTAATTTTATTTGGCAATCAAAAGAGATTCTGTAAGACATACATTATGAAAAAAAATTCTACTTAGATCTTACAAGAACCAACATAGTCACCTCAACCTTTTGGGAACTTATTGTGCAATATGAAGCTTGCCTGAAACCTATATTGGTACCTTGGAGCAACTAATGGATTTCAGAGCTGGTATAGGTTGGTTCCATAGCAACTGAAGACAGGAGTTGGCCAGTAGTAATGATAGGAAAGATACAGTGCTCAGTTAAATGTTAATGTATTAACCCATTACTTGTGGAACTATAGACTAAGTAATAATAAATATTAGAGGCGTGATAGTTTTATATCTTTCAATTCATGGTGTTTTATTTTTCAAAAGGATAATCAAACAGAGTACTGATGTGTGGGCACTTTTACATGTCTAATTTATACACTCATAACAAATACCCATATCTTAACACAAATTTCTCTTCATGTTTTTGGGAGACAGAAATTATTATATAATGATATTCCTTTTTAAGGCAAAGATATCAAAACAATGGTAATAAAAACTAGATCTTTTACATATTTTAGCTAACTAGCTTTCAGGTTTTAAAAAAAACATACAATCATTTATAATACTAGAGATTGAAAGCAGAAATGGAGTTAGATAAAAACAACCTATCTTATAACTTATTAAACAGTAGTTCTGTCTGTGAGTATGGCCACAGAATTCCCCCAAAATATTCATTTTAAAATTAAATTGCTTAATATCTAAGAATCAGCAGTGATTTCTCAGTTAATACATTACCTTTTTCCCTTTCAATCATCCCTCAAACAAGAATTATTTTGTAGAATGTTACAGTTGAGAGGATTCTTAGAAACCATCTGCCTGTGGTTCTCAACATAGAATTGTGCCTCATCCTAGAAGCATCTTAGAAATGTATAGTGGTTTTGGACATGATAACAATTGGAAAATACTACTGGATCAGAGATGCTAAATTCTCTCTATAGAGAATCCTTCACAAACGAAGAATCATTTAACCTAAACGCCACAGAATGCCCACTGAAATGAATTTACTTCTCTGATATAGACTCACAGAGGTGTAAAGTGACTTAATCAACAATACACAAGTGAGTTCAAAACCTATCATCTAGCTTCTAATTAAGAAGTTCAGAACCTATAATCTAGCTTCTAAGTTCAGAACCTGTAAGAATTTAGCTTCTTTTACTTAATAAGTTCTTGATAGAGAAGCAATAAATTATTTAAAAATCATAAATCATAATCAAGAATCAATACTTAAATACACAAAACTCTACCAAAACACTGGTCATCATTAATACTTGAACATAGTAAGCCAGGTTGACAATTATTTCCTTTCAGAACTTGAAGCACATCATTCCATGACCTCCTGGCTTTCAGAGTTTCAGTTGGAAAATCTGCTAATCTCAAGGTCTGTCTCTATATTTCACTTAACACTTGTCTTTTACAACTTTCAATAATCTTTTTTCATTCTTACACTTGATATTTTAACTATTACATTAACTATTACATGGCCTTGTTATATTTGGTATTCAAAGAACATCCCTTACTGGATGAGTGTCTCTGGGAAAGTATTATTTTCTTGACTACATTTTCCATGCCTTTAGCTCCAACTCCTCTTCTTTTATACCCAGGATTCATTGTTTTGGTCTTTTAATGGTGTCCGGAGTTCTTCTACATTCTCTTTGTACTTTACTTAGTTCTTAATACTGTCTGCATGTTAGCATTCATCTACCTTATCTTTACCTCAATAATTGTCTTCCACTTGACCCAGTCTAGTAAAAAGTAATAAAACTACAATTAACAAAAATGGCAATATCCTCTTCTTCAAATTGCTCCCCCCAAAATAATTCACTTTCAGACATTTCATTTTCAAAACTTATCAAAGCTACATGACAAATGAAGAAATCAAATGAATCATCTGTTGAAAAGGGGTACTGCATAATTTCTATTGATTTCATAGAACTAGATACCCTACAATCTAGCTTCCACTGCTAATCCTGACTAGAAGAGCACTGAATTAAAACGTGAAAGGACTAAACACAAATCCATACTCTATATACAACTAGATGAAAAATCCTAAACAAATACTCATGTTACACAAAATGAGGTGTTTAAGATTCTAATTCTATATCTCTTCTTTACTGCATAGTAATAGTTTTAGAAGAATTTACCTAAATATTCATGGAGATGTATGTTATGATAATGGACAAAGCTACAAAGGTGAGCATGGATAAGACTCCTCAGTTATCATCCAATAGCACAGAGATATTGTCATCATCTATAATACTATATATACTACATCTACTCTATAATACATCTTTTCCCTACATCATTCTAAAACTGGGAAGTATTTTCAGAATAATTTAAAATTAAAATTTCTTCAAAATATACTCACGTTAAATACTTTTTATGCCTTATGATTTTTATTTTTTTAATTTTAAAATAACATTAAAAATAGAAGAATTTTCACAAGTATTGACACATTAATATGCATATATGTGTTAATATGCATACATATTCACTGTGTCTCTATATTTCTCTCAAATTCTTACAACTTAGATTTTGTCCCTGACACAAATTATAAAACCTGAGTAGTATTTAACTCTTATCCTTACAAAATTTCCATTGGCCTATGTCTATAAAATATATGTGTATGTTTTCACATATACTGACTTCAACCAACTTGCATGCATTTAAGTTAGATAATAAACCATATGATAGCAGAATTTTAAAAAGTTTTAATAGCCTTAAAATGAACTTATATAAGGCTTTCCAACTATTCAGGAGTATATTCTTTAAATAGTAGCTAAGCATGTAGCTCCATGGAGAGTGTTACCCCAGCATGCATTAGGCCTTGGGGAGATTCTATTCCACACCAGAAAAAAAAAAAGAAAGAAAGAAAGAAAGGAAAGGGAAAAAAGAAAATCAGAGAAAAGAAAAAAGAAGAGAAAAACTAAAAGAAAAGAAATGGAAAGGTTCTCTAAAGATCTGGTGATTAAGTAGTTTCTCTTATATATGAGGTTTCAGATACTAGGGTATCTAGTTCTATGAAATTAATAGATGCTCCCTCATCCTAAAGTAGCCCATAGTCTTTGCTGCTTACATTTTATTTGCTTGGTTATTTTAACAATTTTAAAAATACACTATTGAGCCAGGCACTGGTGGCTCACGCCTGTAATCCTAGCTACTCAGGAGGCTGAGATCTGAGGATCGCGGTTCAAAGCCAGCCCGGGCAGGAGAGACCGTGAGACTCCTATCTCCAATAAACCACCAGAAAACCGGAAGTGGTGCTGTAGCTCAAGTGGTAGAGTGCTCACCTTGAGCTGAAGAGCTGAGGGACAGCGCCCAGGCCCAGAGTTCAAGCCCCACGACCAACAAAATAAATAAATAAAAAATAAAAATACACTATTTAAATAAAATTAAACAAATGATTGTCTACTTTCTTAAGGTTATAAACTTAACCCTTCAGTTAGTTAAACATGCAATTATTATTCGATCATATCCATGAAATTCCAAGTTAGAGAACAGCAATAAATATTCTGTTAGTCTAACATGCTAATACAAGGAAAACACCTTCAAGCACTCTATTTCAAAAAAGCAAGAGTTCTGTCAGCCAGATGCTATGCTACTTATAACAAACATCCAACAACCCACATGGTAAGAGTGTACTGTACCAAAACTATCAGGGGTCTCTGCTGATGATACCTCCTCCGCATGCTTCACAATGACCATCTCAGGCTTGGGATATCTGCATGCTAAAAATATTCTAATATCAAAATGTATTCAAGCACAAATTAAAATGTGTATAAATGTTAAAATGTATATGAAGTTTAAACATGCCATATGCTAGCATATAGGCAATCCCTCCTTTGTACAGTAGTGCGGGACTAAAAAACCAACAATATAAATTTGACATATATAAGCAGTCTTAATAACCAGTGTGGACTGTGATGGAGCCTCCTATAATCTCAGCACTCAGCAAACAGAAAGAAAGATCATGAATTTGAAGGAAGCCTAGGTAAAAGAATGAGATCCTGCCTCAAGAACAAAAACAAATCAAGATTATAAAATTAAAAATTAAACTAAAATTAAATATATAAAATAAACTAACCAATATGGCCTAGGGTACACTGCAGTGATAGAGAATTTGCCCAGTGTACATGAGGCCTTGGTTTCAATCCCTAGAATAGACACAGACAGACAGACAGAATCTTCATCTATTAAGCAGAAATAATTCCTTCTCTATGCAAGAATAATAAACAGAATAACTATCTGAAAATTCAATTCATCATGTGGTATCCAGCAAATATGGGTAAGTAATGATAGCAAAGATGGTCTTCACAGTAGCAAGACTTAGACAGTAGGAGTATAGCTTCTACAAAATACAAAAAACTAAGCCAGGTGCCAGTGGTTCACACCTGTAATCCTAGCTACTCAGGAGGCTGAGATCTGAGGATTGAAGTTCAAAGCCAGCCTGGGCAGGAAAAGTCTGTTCTGTGAGACTCCTATCTCCAATTAATCACAGAAAACCGGAAGTGGTGCTGTGGCTCAAGTGGTAAGAGTCCTCGCCTTGAGCTGAAGAGCTCAGTGACAGCACCCAGGCCCAGAGTTCAAACCCTACAACTGACAAAAAACACAATAAAATAAAAATGTATATATACATATATATACACATATATTTGTGTGCATATATATATATAACTATTAAAAAATAAAAATTCAGAAATCATGTTACAAAATACTAGGATGACTTGAAATTTACAAATGTTTTCACAAAACAAGATACTAAATAATCTCAGCTAAACTCAGAAAAGACAGAAAATCTAAATTAAACCAAATAAAAAGATCCTTCTAGGTTAAATGGCCCTGCAACTTTCAGATTCATCAACAGTAATGGCTTTGGCAGCTACTTTTTAGGTGCGTAAAACAATGACCCCCTGAACAGTCATAACCTAGATATTAGCAAAAATACCATGAAGGCTGAAGAGCTCTAACAAAGTGATAGATGTTCTGGATAGCTGGGAAGATAAAAGTATCAGTCTTTGAAGCACCTATTAAGATTAACCCCTAGCCTGGGGTGGATGGCTCAGGCCTGTAATCTAAGCTACTCAGGAGGCTGAGATCTGGGGATCATGTTTCAAGGTTAGTCCTGGCAGAAAAGTCCCCAGGAGACTCTTATCTCCAAAAACTCTTATCTCAAAAACCAAAAGTGGAGCTGTGGCTCAAAGTGGTAGAGTGCTAGCTTTGAGCAAAAAGAACCCAAGACCCTGAATTCAAACCCCACAACCAACCAACCAATAAAAGAAAAGAAAGAAAGAGAGTGGGGGAGGTGGGGGAAGAGAGGGAGAAAGACTAACCCCTACTGCGAAGTGGAGAGTGGACAGTGTTCCTGTGTTTTATGAGGAAACGTAAGAAACTGTGGAAGGGTGACAGAAGAACACATCTTAGAAAATGTCGCAGAATGCCAAGAAGCAGACTTCCTTACACAGCAGAAACAGTCTAACACGACCACAAGGAATGAATGAGAACAGAGTGGATGGTCTGAGAGCACTGAGCTGGGGGAGGGGAGCAACTAAGACCAACCAACAATTCCCTAGAATAGGATAGAGTCAAAAAAGCATGCCAATTGAAACAGCAATGTACTGGAGGCATTTGGGATAATGACTTTTATGTCTATAAATAGAAGTAGCCACCAAGAAAAACATTGTATTGAAATACACTAAGGACTCTGACATCTGATAGATAGCAAATTATGCTCATTCTCATTATACTTTTACAAAAAGAAAGAGAGCAATATGTTCAAATATTTCACTGTCAAAAGCCATCAGAATAAATGTTTCAGGTTCTCTACAAATGTTTTTATGCATAAGAACCTCTTAATTACAGTTCATTTAAGGTGATTTTAACATGTAACTACTTGTTTTTATGAGCTTGTTTTCAGTAACTTAAAGCAGACATAAACCCATGAGTCACACAATACAAGGTAGAAGTCCTGTAACACTATGTATGGATTCATTTGGCAGACTGTGCAAGATGCTAATAAAATCCACACCCAAAGATTGAGTCCTTATTTGTTCCAGTTATTTCATACTCATGTACATCCAATGAAACCAGACAAGAATGAGTGTGTCAATGCAAACATCATTATTTTAAGAAAAAACTAAAAGTGTCTCCATTCATAATGATTCAATATCAGGTCCTACCTAGACCCAATACAACCTTCTGGAAGACTATAAATTACTGGCTTTGTTCTTTCAACTTTTTTATCCACAAATTGTTTATAAGAACAATAAAAGCTTGTCATAACTGCTATAAAAATAAGCAGTCACTGTACAGTATTTTCACAATAAAAAAATTAAATTAAAAAAATAAGCAGTCAGTGACTACTGATATGAAAAACATCAGATTAATTACTAATAGTAATTTTTTTTCGGGGGGGGGGGGCACAGTCCTAGGGCTTGAACTCAGGGCCTGGGCACTGTCCCTGAGCTTCTTTTGCTCAAGACTAGTGCTCTACCACTTGAACCACAGTGTCACTTCTGGCTTTTTCTGTGTATGTGGTTCTGAGGAATCAAACCCAGGGCTTCATGCATGCGAGGCAAGCAAACTTACAGCAGTATTCAACTTACGTGAAAGCCATCTTTTCTAAGTTTCTAATGTTTAAAATGTAGTCAGGAAGTGAAGAAGCAACACAACCAAGAAAAACAATTACCTATAAAATTCATTTATTAGAGAAGTAAGAACACCCTGGCAGATTGGTAAGGAATTACATTTCTGTCCTTATCCAGAAACAAATTTGCAAGAAATAAAGGAACAAGCTAAAAGCTGAGACAATGTACTGATACCAGCAAGTTTTAATGGATAATATGAGACTAGAAAGAGCAACTAAAGAAACATTTCATATAAAGCAGTGGCTCTCATCCAGGGTGATTTTGCTAATAACCCTCTTTTACCAATGCCCACATCCCTATCCCTCCAAGAAACATTCACTTATGCCTGTAGACATATTTTGATCAACAAAAGTAGGATGCAAAGATGGAAGGGAGCTTCCAGCATTTAGTGGAGAAGGGACAGGACGTTACTAAATACCTTCAGAAGGTAAGAGCCCCACAGCAAAGGTAAGAAACTTGATATGGAGGAAGGAATGCTAAACGTGTCAGTATGTTACTGGACTAGTCTCCAGTCCACGGACAAATGTTCAAAATAAAGGCCCTAAGCCTAAAAGGGGCTGAGTAACGGACCCCAAAGAAGTGTACAATTTAATCACCAACCTATGAATATGTTACTTTCTGCAGCACAAAGGACTTTGCAGTTATCTAGTCTGGTCCTAAATGTATCACAAGTGTCCTTACAAGAAAGACGCAAAAAGGTCAAAGAGAAAGGAGTTAACAAAAGGGCTGAATCAGAGATTTGAATGGAATGTAAAAAGCTGGAAGGACCAGGAACAAATCCTCTCCAGGAGGACAGACCCTGGTGCCGCTTCTGATGTTACGCCCTGAAGACTCATTTTGGATTTTGTGTCTGAAAAACTCCGAAACAATCCATTCCTATTTTTTTAAGGCACAAAACCTGTAGTAATTTGTTATATAGCAGCAATAAGAAATTAACACAAAGTCTTATAGTTTCTACCTACCCCTCTAGCACACACTATAGGATCCCTGGCCTACCTTCCAGGCATTATAACAATCCTAAGATGCCAGTGACAGCTGCTTAGCTGAACAGTTTTATCTGGTCCCAACCAGATGTGAGTCAGTAGTCCCCTGACCAACACAACCTGGTCTTCCCCTCTTTCTGTGCCTAGTTAGGGCTATACATCACTTATTCCTTTTATTCTCTCAACTAAGACACTATAACATCTTTATTCTTGTACCTTCGTTTACAGTATAAAGGTTTTTCTCCTTGAGCAAAAAGCCAAGATCATCCTTACTCCACCCTAGGGGCAAAGACACTAAAGGAATGACTCCTTTCAGACATAATCCTGAGTAACAGTGTTGGTTGAAAAAACTTCATATTGTCATTAAAGATCCCTAGTGGACCAAGACTCCAGAACAAATCTTAGGCATTATAAGGATTCTAGATATCCAATTTGATATCAGCTTTCTGTCATCTAGCTTTCCACTTTGTCAAAGGCCACTAGACTGTATGGCAAGTTCTCAAAACAAAGCTTTTCATCCTACCTTAAACTATCAAAAAATGAGAGTAGCTACAAGATTACAGTTGTGAATTATATGGTGAACATAAATGGATGCAGACACATAATTTTTAAAAAAAAATTACACCTGAGGAGGCTGAGAAATAAGGATTGAGGTTGAAAGACAGTGTGGGAGACTCTCCACTTAAACACTAAAAAGCCAGAAGTAGAGCCTTGACTCAAGGGATAGAACACTAGCTTTGAGCAAAAAAAGCTCAGGGACAGTGCCCAGGCCCTGAGTTCAAGCCCCAGGATCAGCATGTATGCATGCACGCACATGCACACACGCACGCACACACACACACACAATATTTAGCCAGGCACTGGTAGCTCATGCAGTAATCCTGCGACTTGGGAGGCTGAAACCAGGATAACTGAGGCCAGTGCCAGCAGAAAAGTCTGAGAGACTCCATCTCCAATTAACCCACAAAATGCCAGACTGAAGGCATGATTCAGTTGTGTAATGCCAGCTGTGAGGAAGCAAGCTAAATGAGATTGAGAGAGCTTGATTTCAACCTCAGTACTAGCAAAAAAAAAAAAAAGTAAACCATTTCCATTTATACAGAGAAACAAAAAATGCAAGCTAATTAAG